ATCGTCGATCATTTCGTCATCGTCTTCGGACGTTTACTCGGTAAAGAGTTGCTCTCTCTGACAATTTCCATTCGTGGAATTTCACTGCGCAGAATATGCAATGGAAAATTATATCGCAACTTCGAGGAAATAAAATTTCGACAAACAAAATATATTTGAGAATCGTTCAAAATTTCAGAATCAAATGCGATGGAGCAATCATAACAGTCCACGAGAAAGGGAAAAGTAATTAATGCCTGAAGAAAGAAAAAGTGATTACAGCCTGAAAAAAATAGACCTAAAAAGAAGAATTATTATTAAATTGGTTAAGTGCTTAGGGTGTGGGAAGCGTGGCCAACCCTAACCTCACTTTGTAAAATCCACGGAAATTTCCAAACTTTACCGAGTCCATTAATTATTACTTTTCCCCCGTAATAGCCAATAATTTATTAATTTTTTCTTTTTTATTATAAATTCACATCGCGAACAATTTATTATTAATAGTCAGTATGATAATTTGTACATTTTTTACAAATTACAGGTACATTTTAATACAAGTACCAGCCTATCAAATAATAGCCAATAATTTATTAACATTTTCGTTTTTATTATAAATTTATGCGAACAATTTCTTATTAATAATTAATTTTATAATTTATACGTGTTTTATAAAGTAAATTTTCCGGAGATTGTGGACGACAGAGCAATCTCGATTACGGATTCGTGTTGAGGAAAGTGAGCACTATGAGAGTCACTTATTGGATATTACAGATTAGAGGAAAAATTAAAATTGGTTAGACAGTGTAATTCTTTACTGAGCTTCCAGTTTCTTAAATTCTTCCCATATCCTTCCCATCGGTGAAAATAGAAGAGATTACGTCCCTGAGTGCAAGGTGTGTATCGAATACGGAAGTTTCCCCTTTCTTCGAATTATTCTCGAGAGCAGAGAAATGGTCACCGGAGATTAGGTCTGAATCGAATATGGAATAAAGGATAATCTCGGCGTCTTTCGCGAGGAAAAGCTCTGTGCGAGGAAGCCAGCAACGTGACTGCACGCGAAATTTTAGACAGCTTTCGTTTAGTGGATCTTAGAATTTCATAACCTGCGAACGAATAAACGTGTAACTCTATGAAATTTTGAGCATGAACCATGGGATTATCCTGGTACGTAGGTAAGGAACGTGCGTGTTCATTCTACTCGAGTTTCGAGACAATGCGAAGCTTCTCCCTTCTGGAATATTTTATCGCGCAACGACGAACGTTTCAAGCGGGTGAATAAATCGTCAGCAGTTGCAGGCTGGATAAAACTGAGAAGAAAAATTAATGGCGAAGTAATTTTCTCACTGCTTATTTTATCGGGCTTTCCCTCGAAGGGAAACGTAATCAATTATACTTAATTTGCGAGAATCAAGACGGAAGTGAATAAAATAGACGCAAAAACTGAAATATCGAAGTATTTACCTCGATCAATGCTCGGTGTATAATGCAGGGCAAGAGTGGTCGTAATTCCCTTTTCAATTGCCGTATTAATTTCGCAATGAATATGCGAACATCGAAATGTAAAATGCTCGTTTAGATATTTAATATCTCTATTGGTACAAACGCGAAACGAACGAAATCGGCGAACTTAATGGTTTTTGGCAATTTCGACACGGTTTCTATGTAATTTAACCAAATTTCCGGTTCGCCTGGAAAAATATGAAACCCGTAAAATACCAAATCTAACGTGCATCGAATTTGGACCGAACTTAAACATCCAATGTACCAGCTTGCAGCAAATTTAGACGAGCTCGTAGAAATCTTTCTGACACAAGCATCGCGCGAGTACGAAAAAATTAACACGACACCTTGTTAACTAGCAGCTTTCGTTGCACAACCTAAAACACCAGCCGGCCAAGAAAACGTACATCATACGCGTAACAACACCGTCGCAAGTCCTCGCGCGCGTAATTTGCATTAAAATTAACGCGTTGCGCGTTCCGTGCGTCGCGTTATTTCTCACCCCGTCCGGAAGGGTGGTGCTGCGTCCGAGGACGCAACCGAAAGCCATAATAGCGACGGTAACCGTGACGCACAGACGTAGCGAAAAATCCGATGGACTAAATTACGGTGACGGGGTGAACGTGTCGCAGGGATAACACGGAAAGAAACAGCGAGCCCGAGCGACGGCCATCGACGTTTGACAGACGTTTCGACGACCTGGTGTCGGTGTACACGGGGGTAATGCGGTGCTCGCCGATAATAAATTATCCGTAAGCGGTGTGCGGCAAGCTGCGACGGTCAGGTGCACCGGCAAAAACCGGCAAAATGGATTATTAATTACGATATCACGTTACACCCTGTGGCCAGAGTCTGGACGAAACGAGAGGGAGAAACTTTGACGAGCTTTTTTCCTGCCCCGAAATTCCACCCCCGCGCAACCGAGCCGATATTCGTACTCAAGATGGATATTTTCCCGTGCGAATTATAAAGCGGAAAGATGCATGCCGATGACGGGAATATTGGCTTATCGTGCGACGCTGTGTTTGCAAATTTCAGCGGGTGCTTAGGTGCACATTCATTTTTCTCTACGACGAAATAGGACTTTAACGGAATACTGAGTATTTATCTCTGACAAACGAATTACTTTCAAGAGTATCCAAATATGCGAAGAATCGGGAAGTTATGCAAATTGCGGAGAATTATTGTCTCTGTATAGGGTAGACCGTGGAGAACTCGCGATTTCCATGTAATACAAATTTCTGTCGTAATTATTAGTTCTTCGCTTTTCTACAATTATTCTCAATAAATTTTACCCCAGAGACGAATCTTATTTTTAGCAAAAATGTGAATAAATTCGACTCGGGTTTTTAATAGTGACATTAGCTATAGAAGAGTTGAACAAGATGGCGAGTAGATCCAAACTTTAAGACGTTCGGAATTTCTAAGCTGTCGCATCAATAGCGGCTAAAATGGTGACTCCAAATATAACAAGGAGGACACAAGTCGCATGTCTAATGCAAGGTCGTCGCCATACTTTCCACCATTTCAGAGTCGATCATTCAATTTTCCATGAGCGTGCAGCAGCCATCGTTCGTACAAGATTGGTTCGCGTGCTCGATTAAGCTGGCTTTTCGATTCTATTCGGTATGCGACTAACTGATATCCAATGTTATTTCGTTCGCCGAACCGGTCGCTCGATAGTTTTATAGGGAATGTTAATCTTCCATCCGCTAAACGAACGAATGCTACGGATTAAACGTTGGATCCACGCGACCGAAAAGGAAAAAAAGAAAAATTGAAAAGGGAAAAATAGAAAATGGGGGAAAAAGGAGATAGCAATTTAAACACTGATTGATCGTTTTGGCTCGTCAACGTGCGATGAAATTTCCGGAGGGTTCCTCATTTAAACACGCTGTTTGTATTCTTCGCTACTTAAATTTAACGCCATTCGAATTATCCGCTGCTGGGAGAGCGGACGAGCGATGGAAAAATATTCGCCCAGCGTTATTCGAATAGCAGTCCCGTCTACTTTCCGTTTTACGTGCTTATGAGCAACGCTAAATTATTCACCGACGCTTTGTACAATTCATTCGTGGGACTGAATAATTAAGGGTTGAAAATGTAAGGGAAGTTCGTTCGCAGTTCAGACGCAAAAGTAATAAACTGCGTGAAAATTTTTAACTTCAACCTGATTTAACTTTCAAATTGATCCTATCAAAATTTCTTCTCAACCACCGTTGCAGGTGAATGCACCAGGAACTTCTTCCGTGCTTATTTAAAGATATTTTCCGTACAAATACCTATTCCCGGAAAGTGTTTTCGTCGCGGTCCACGCGGCTGGGATGCATTCGCAGAAATGTTTAGAAATATTTCGGTCGGCTACGGAAGAGGCATTGTTTGAATGGTAAACAACTCGTTTAATTCAAACGAAGATCGCACAGTCGAACGTGTAAAAATAGCGGGCAAACGCGAAATGAAAATTGTTTTCGGTCGTCGAAATAATATTTTCGACTACTGTTTACCCCATTTTCGAGCAATTTCCAAAGGCTTCGAAGAAATGATCACCCTCTCTTTACCTACGATTCACCGCGTGTATTAATTATTACACGAGGACGTGAAATTTCTTCCCTCCTGCTCGCTATATCTATCTGCTCCCTAAAATTTCAATCGACTACTTTGCGTGTATAATGAGGAAAAAGGTAAAAAGCTCAGGCAGAGCGAAGTGGTTGCGATAATCCAGGGCTGAAAATTTCCGAAGCGGCGTGAAATTCATTCATCGACCACGAAAATGTTGGACGAAATTCCAGCGATGGCGGCGCGGGACTCGGTGGGATATCTCGAAGAACGGGCTCTCGTCATCCCGATTTATTAGGTTCAGCCTCGGTTACATTAGGAAAATTCGTTCCATTAGGAAGATTGCGCGGGCGAAAGGGGACAAATCGAACGGCACCTCCTATCCGGCGTCGGGTAACCGATCGCTAATTGCTTTTGTCATACCGATAATTAATAATGCATCGATCGGGACTGGCGCGACGATGAGTGGCCGGCGAATTAAATGCGTTAACGACGATAATCGGGTTGCGGTGAATGGTAAATCGAAAATACACCGGGACGGGAGTTATTGAATGCAAACGAGGCTGCGATCCATTATCCGGCTGAACTACTAGCTTTCGACGGCGGCACAAACGTTTAGTGCCACCACTGACGATCGGCGCTGAACGGAGCCGATCGTCAACGACTGACGATCGTGACGAGTTTGATCGCCTTCGAGGTTAAACGTTGTCCGAATGATTTATCGGGGCGATCGTCGAGTGACGGTGTTTTCCCGATCTACGTAGAAATTAACCTGAGATTTATACCGTTATTGCCTCGTTGTCGTAAGGGGTGATGTTCGCGAGTGGATTAGGTAGGATTTTACGACTAGTCTCGGGTGCTAGTCACGTCTTTGCAGTGACAATAATCCACCACCTGATACTTTCGTACTGTTGTTACTTGTCGTATGCGAAAGAAATAGAAATTAAATGTCAAATGTGCTCAATATGGCGACGCAAGGTATGTAAGAACCAATAAATGATGAAAATAACGTCTACAAAATTGGAGGAGAAAGAATTTGATTTAGATTTCTTCGTTTAGTTCATTTATACTTGTTGCATTTTCCAAAAATATGTTTAATATTTTACATCCTTCCTGTTAGCGTGAGAAGGGACACTGGATTCCTGTAGTAAATACAAACAAGTTTTAAGGAATTATTAACCGATTGTTTGCTCGTTTCTCGTATTGCATACTCGGTACAAATTCACGAGGTTCCCGAGACTGGAGATCTCGCGTGTATATTTAACGTCCACTGTCCCTCGTTTTCAAAGACGAACAGGAGGACGCCTGATGAAACGCAGGGTGTAACAACGACGAGATGAATGGTAGTCGGTTTGATTTGCAGAAGGGGAGCCGGAAGAGGTGACGAACAATGATAGGGAAAGCCGTGTTGATACTGTGCGACGTGTTGACGATATCCCAGTGCTGCTACGTTTTTCCAAAAGGTACTTGAATGTAGATAACGAGCGACACGGCGACGCCTAGACCACTCCATGTTCTTGCCTCGGTCAAGGGGACTGGATTTTGTATCCACCGGAACTCGTAACGAAGATCGGGAAGAAAGACGAAAAAGTGTCGCGAATATCCTGCGAAATAGAATATTCGGGCGAATAATTTCGCGAGTCAAATTTTAAAATTCTTGTTCCCGAAAGGAACAAGATACGACATGAAATAATTATACGGCAGATTCTGTGAACTTTTGAAAATAACGTATAATCAAAAATACGCGTTCCATTCTTTATTTAATTATTTCCCATTTGGATCGAAATAATCTTTCAATTTTAATATTTTTCACCGGTAATATAATTCCGCGTCCACCCTGGAAAATTGATGAACAAGGTACACACACGCGTACCAATCGTATTTTTGCCCTAAAAATATCAATCGACGCGATGCTTCTTATTTCAACGAGAAATCACGCGACAGATCTCACTGAAAGAGTCACGCGGTGTCTCCTTTATAGACTCGAGGGTGAAAAATTTCGCCAGAAAATCGAATAAACGATTCTTTGAAAGCATGGTCACTTGCTCTCAAACAACCCTCTGTCCGCGTCGCGGAATAAATCGCTTTCACGTTCGCTTTAGCGAGAATAAGCTATTTCCTTCTCCAATTTCTTTTCGCCACTCGTGTCCCTTGTCGTTTCGCCGGAAACAGGGTCACGACATCATGGCCACGACGAATGAGGAGAATATTTTAATTGGGCTTACCGCTCTCTGTTCCTTCGCCGCGGTTCCATTAAAAATTTTCACCGGCTTAGCCGCGGCTGAATATTCGCGGACGGCTTTTATCTGTTCAAATCCCGGAGAAGAAAGGAGCAGCTAGAGAGACGCGCACGGTCACGGTTCGTACGCTGTATTTTATCACGCCGGTTAAATCCCACCTCGCTAGGCGATACTTTATTCATCGTGAATCGCGCGGATTTAATTTCACGTCGCTTTCCGGCGCGCTCCGTGTTTACGGTTTGTAATTACGTTTGATGCCGGAACAACCGTGGCGTCGGTGAAAAGAATTATCGATTAAACTGGATCCTTCCTGTCCGTCAAATCGTTCTTGAACCACGCTTTTTGTCGCTTCCACGATTATTCTTTCCCCGGTCATTATTGCACGATTATCGCGTGGCACGTTGCGTTCTACAGGGATGCAAGGGTGTAACCCGGGGTATGCAAGCAAGGAATCGAAAGTTTCTTCGAATCGAACTTTTCCCAAGGACATTCTCGATTCTTCGAGTAGCGATTGACACGACCGATTTTTGTTACAGAAATCAAGGACCCATGTGCTAAGCTGAACTGTACCCAGGGTTCGCAATGCGTGCGAAGCAGAGATGGCAGCGAGGCTTTCTGCGAGTGTCTGGAATCCTGTCCGAATTTGGGGGATCACGAGGGATCGGGTCCTGTCTGCGGCACAGATGGGATCGACTATTCGTCTCTTTGCGAACTGAACCGGGCAGCCTGCGTCAAGGGTGCTAATATCACGATGGCGTTTCATGGAAAATGCGGTGAGTATCTACTTTTTCGTCTGCCACGCGATCAAGCGATTCCCTTGTCTTCCGCTTTGGCCTAAGTTAACGCGAGCAACGATTCGGAGGAGGAAACGTGTTCGATGACAGTCGAACTTGGTGTCGAGTTCATCGCTCTAGGAAGACAGGATGGTTGGTCCCGTAGGAGTGTTGGAATTAAAATTCAATTTTCATATTAATCCTTTAAAAAGCAGGATATCAATTCGAATTTTCTAAAGCAAACACAGACGGTATTAACCGAGAGTGAATTGAGTGCCTATTGCACTGTTTTCTGCTTATATACGATAAATTGTGCTGTAGTTAAAAACTAAATACTAAAATAAACTCTGCATCCTAGCGATGTGGGAACAATCTCATCCCCTGCGTTTTGTCTTTTGTCTCCCGTTTTCTGGAGACGTCTTGTGACTTGCGTGGCTTTAAACTGGCCACTTCTAACCGTTCATCCGTTTAATGAACATCTATACGGTTTTTCCATCGTTTCCACTGAATTTCTTTGCATCATAACCCCTTGACAAGTTGTAATTCTTTCAATTCAGCGTTGTTCTGACATCCTTCTGAGCATAAGCAGTCACATCCGTTGTTTATAAGGATAAAAAGGTGTACGCCTACGAAGTGTAATATTACTCCAATTAGACAGAAACCGAGCGTGTCGCGATTGTAGGCTTGGCAGCCTAGAGTGCTGACATTTTTCGAGCGAAGCAGAGGAAGCGTAAAATCTTGGCACTCAAACGGTTAAACCTCAAACTTGGTCTTAATCTCGGTTACTCGAACTATTTAACTTGCAAGGAATAAAACTTCGAAGAATATCCAGATTCAGAAGCACCTATCAACATTCGCGATTTCCGATCGTTCCTGAAAACGCCAAAAATTCCTTCTTCAAGTTACCTTAACTACGTCTCGTTAAAAATCGTGCCTGAACGGAACCCCTTTTCTCTTATCGCTCGGCTAAATTTCCATTTTCCACGGTAACCCGTCTCCTCTTCTTGCGGAGTAATTATGGATCGTTAAACGCAACTTAACCGAAAGAACGAAGAAATATCGACCCCCGAGGGTTGGAACGATGGCGACGAAGACCGGTAGCCAGCCCGTAAACACTCAAGAGACATGTCTAAGAAACGCGCGTTTCCGGGCTCGGTTATTTATCGAAAGCGAAAGCGTGCCCGGACTCGGAGATAATCCGGCGAACCCAGCGACGACAAATATTTGCCGAATCGAAGTCGAGCGGAGGCTTAAATACCGGGTTTGTCAGTACGTATTTACTCGCGCCTTTATGCACGCGATCGAGATTACTTCCGGGCAGATGCGTTCGTTTACATTCGCGACGTTCTACGTATGCTCCGATGATATCGCTGGAATTCTTATTCGCGGAACCCGTGAGCATGAATCGCATCGCGATCCCGGGAAAACCGATCCCTTCCGCTTAAATTGCTTCCCGAATGTGAATATAAGAAAATTTTCTTCGCGTGCGCGAATATCGTCTGGCGGCAAATTTAATAGCCGTGTAATTCCGGGTATTTGTTTCCACGCAGGGGAATATTTGGGGTAGAAACGACGAGTCGGGGGTGAATTTTGCAACGTGCGAAAACCTTGGGATGACGTATCGTTGATTATACGGGATTTCTTCAAATTTGTAATAAATGGCTTCGTTAAATGAATTTGAATATATCAGCTTCCCTTTATCGCGCAATCGATGGAATTTTAGTACATAGAAAGCATACACGAATCGAAATAAAATGTTCGGAAAACGGTATCGTAGCGATTGGCAGCACCCCTTTATTACCTGGCGGATTAAACGCTGCATCGCTTTTTATTTGTCCTGTAGTCTTCGACCAATAAACTTCCCATCCTGTCAAGCACAATGCACGCCTTTGCCTGTTCGACGAACGCTAATCCCGAGAATCACTGATTAAACACAATGGCGTAAAACCTGCGCCATTCAGACCCGGGATAAAAGCCTTAAATCCAAAAACAATCCTTAATTTTTGCGTGTGCACGTGCGCTTGACGTCGGAATTAATCAACAGCCGTTTTATACGCTGTCCGTGAATGGCGTATCGAAAAGTAGCGACGAGTTAAACGAAAAGACCGACGAGAGTTTGGGAAGCGTTGAACCCGCCGCGGAAGAGATCGGGGATGTGACGCGAAATCGTAAGAATCCGCAACGATGGCCGAAATCGAGGGTGAGACAGTGATAAATTAGCGGGGTTCGAGCGGCATAGACAATCACGTTTCTCACACGTGTAGGTTCGAGTAAATACGCGATAAATCCTTTTCACGCGCGTTCACCGAGGGAAGAAAGCACGAATCGTGCGAGTAAATTCGAAAGCAATCGACGACCCAGTCGAACGAAACGCGTATCCGACATTCGTTCCGAGCAAATCGATCCTTTTCCATCGACCAGAAGAATCTCGTTCTTCCTCTCTCGCGGCCTGTCTCGTTCGTTTGAAATTAAAATTCTACTAACAAAGAGGGATGAAAGACGAGCTTCTTCTTGCCGTGAACGTATTCTTTCCCTTCCCCTCGGTTCCTTCTCGGTTGTCAGTGTTCATCTCTTTATACTCATCGGTTCCGTTTCTTATCTAATTTTCCCTTTGTTCGCGTCCCTCTCGCTCGTCTTGCTTTCTTTGATATAGTTCCTAAGAGTTTTCTTTCTTACTGCCTCACTTACATCGCACGTTTTACCTTCTTACCTTTGACCACGCGTATTTCTTCGCTTATAATTTTCTCTCCGGGAACGATACACGTTTTCCCTGGCGTATCTTTGTTTATCCGCAGCTTTCTACCCGGCTGAGTAATATCTTCGCCCTCTGAGCCGCGCGTTTTGACCCTAATCGAATTTCCATCTCCGAGATCATGATCGTATTACGTTCATATTACACCGACACGTTCGATTAAATTTTCTCGTATAAACGAATTTCGTCATTTTTCGCCTTTCCCTTTAATCAACGCCTCTCCCCGCCCCCTTCTTCCCTTTGCACTCAGCCACGGCTATTCTCCCTTCTTTTGTCCCCCTTATTTTAATTTTCCGCATTCCGACTCATCCTCGATCTTCTTCCTTTCATCTGTCCTTTGATTTCCGCCCTTTCCACACCCTCTTCTATTAACCCGTCCTCTCTATCCTATTCATCTCGCCCACCCCTTTTTCCGGCAGCCCCTTATTTATCTTCTCCGCGTATCTCGCGTCGCGACACCTCCTGTTCCCGGCCCTCCTGTGTCAGAATCCGCGTGATCGAGTTTCGTGCCCTTCAGATTTCCTACCCGACTGTTTATCCGTTGTCCAACCCTATTCGCCCCGTGTCCAACCCCAGTCGCCGACGCGGCGGCTCTAACGCGGTATAAACTCGGCAAGCGTTTAATCAACCGAGTGGTAAAGACAAATGTTTGATCAGACAGGTAGTTGCGAGGAAAGGTGGCGACGTTTACTTAGGATTAGGCAAGTCCACCCGCCGCCTCTGCTGGCATCTCTTCCGGCGCTTCTTATTCTTCGAACGAACGTGGCGGTAATCGCAGGCCGCGGTTAACGAACGCTGGGAACATCGATGCGTTTCATCCCCAGAGGACGATCTCCGCGCGATGTAATTGCTGTTGATCTTCGGCGAGACCGAGCACCAGAAAATAGCTAGGTAAACGCGAATCGAAACGAAATTTCTGGCTGCCTGCACGCCGCATAGTTGGCCGAGGGATGTTGCACAATTACGAGGTTTATGAGAATTTATGGGCGGTTAGGAGCATGCTCGGGAATCGTCGTTTCCCTAAGTCTAATGAATGAAATTATCCGTTCGCGATGTTAGGTAGCATTCGAATCCTTTCAGTAGCGTATTTCGAGATAGTTCGATCAATCGTTCACTTTGATGCGTTGAATTGCTGCACGTCTGCAAAGCCTGCGTTAATGAGCAGCTGGATTCGTGCCGTACGAAACTGGATATTAAATTTGTTCCGACGTAAAATCGATTCCTTGATTTTATTACGCTTGTTCATTCTCTACATTCATTCCCAAAAGCACCGAGCATCCCGAGTCAATGGGAGTCTATTTTATTTATATAATAGGAGTCTATGAATCATTAAACGAAGAACATACAGGCCCGAATTGGCCTAAGCTTCTATCAGTGCAGAAAGACGTAAATTTCATACAAACCTCTAATCCATAAAGGAGACACGAGACGGATAGAAGTCGAAATCAGAATACCGAGTCAAACATGCATCATATTCGCTCTCTGTGCTGTGGTAAAATAAATACCTACGAAACCTCCATTGAACTAGCCCACATTGGCAAAACAACGTAAACACCGTCAGATCAATGGTGGAAATTCCGGCGAAAACGACGAATATAATCTCGTAATCTTCGAACTTAATCATAACACCCTCGACACGAATCCCAGTGGAAAAGAACGGGAGACGAAAAATTAGTAGCCCGCCGGTGAAATTCCGCGAGAAGTGGAATCAGTTGGTTGCTTCTCCCTCGGCAGAGGGAACAATGAAACATAATAACCGATGACGAGGATGCTCGAAAGATTGGCGAAACCGACGGCCAAAGGAGCCTCCATCTTTCCCGCTTCGATTCTCATCGAAGTGAAAGTCACGGATAGAGGGAGAAATAAAAGACGAGGCAGAGGAAGAAAGTCAAGAGTGTCCTTTATCAATCGTATTCAGTCTTTCCCCGCCGGTGGGACGGCGAAATCAATAATAAATTCCGATGGCAGGGGTCCGATCGTGGCTCGTTTCTCCTTCGGCCCAGCCCATCCCTGACCCCTCCTAATTTCTTCGGCAACGAGGACGCCGAGTCAGGGGTGGAACGAGCTGGGTCGCGAATCTCAAGTGGCTGCGACGATAAATCAAATTAGCTCGAAACTTTCGAGACTTTTCGATCGTCACCCTCTCCGTACCCATCCCGCGATCTACCTTCGCTGTCAGGGACGATTGGCCCGGGGGTAAATTGAAGAAAAAAAGGAGCGAGGAGGGGGGAAATGAGTTTTCGAGACA